CTCTTCCGATCTTTTGAACAATTTTTATTTGTTAAAATAATATTTTTAGTTTAGGAAGAATGTAACGTACGATACTTTTTTATATACTTGGCGTAATCTTTTTCTTTTTTTAAAAAAGAGTTTTGATAGGATGAAGCTTATACTGAATTCTACGTAAACGAGATCGCTCTGCGAGAGAGTTAAGAAATTGACATTATTATGATACATCGCGAGTTCCGGGGAGAGAAGGAGAGCACGGAATAAATTCCTCCTTAATAAAAACGTCGTGTGCACATATGGTCGTCATCAAATATAAATCGCAATAATCGCAACGCTATTGAATTTTCTAGCGTATGATTCACGTGGGCGTATTTCCCTCAAATAAGACTTTGTAGCGAATGCTTTTGTAACAAGCGCAGGAGAGAGAAACACATGGCGATATATTGACCCGCCCCCGCCCTCCCCGCGGGAGTGAAATCGGATAGTTATCCCTTTCGGACCCGCCGTGCGTGGTGATCGAACGCGAGATCGACGAGAAAATGGGATGAAGAAGGCGGGCTCGTGGCCTAGTAGGTTCCTCTTGCCCGGCATCAGCGACGTGAAAGATTATTGCGGGTGGTCCAGCTTGGAATAACAGCGCGGTAAATGCGGCCCCATACATAAGCGACGGGTCCATTTATAAAGTCGGGCGCAGTCATGATCCATCACGATTCGATTGCTATGCGCTATGTATGTATAAAGGATCTTTATATACGACGTATGTTTCGCCATTAATTATAGCGTGGAACCGCCAATCGATAACGCCGGACCGTATTTTCATACTCATTCTCCGTGATTTTATGACTTTAATTTATCTATTTCTAACACTAAGAAAGAAATACTCCCGAGAGGATATTTTCTGTTCTGGATTCATTTTTTTAAGATTTATCCAGCTGCAGATGTACATGTTATTCATATATTAATATTTGATAAATATTAATAAATATTGAATTAACTATTCTTAGCGTGTAGAAAGAAATATTTTAGGCTGGGATATTTTCTGTTATACATAACGTATTTATAAAGCTTATCTATAGAGATATATATATTATTTATATATTAATAATACGTTCTCTAGTACTATCAATTTCTCTTCTACGATTTTTACGCTTCTCTACTTTATACCAGAAACGTGCAAAATATGCCAGATAATTTTCTTCGTTAAAATTTATTGAATTTTGAATGAATAGGTTGGAAGAATTAAAATTTTTCCTTTTGGAAATGGATTAAGACAGTTGTTTTCGGCAAGGTTGCTCTGAAGAGACAACAGGCAGCCGAAGACGCGATCGCTCTTAAAATGGCAAAGGTGGCCACCGGACAGAAGCTCGATCGACTTCCGCCGGGCAAGATCTTCGGAATGTCCGTGACCGAGCCGAAATCGGTGACACAAAATGAAGATGCGGCACCCGCCATGAAGAAACTAGATGGAATTTCCGAGGATTCAAAGGATCTTCCACGTGTGTCGACCGACGACGCCTTACCCGCTCGTGTCCAAAACTGTCCCGTACGTACAAAATAGAATATTATAACAAAAAATTAAGAATAAAAAAATCAATAAGAAAAAAATTTCGTTTTTTGAAACGAGATTTTATTGTTAATTAATTTTGTTATTTAAATCACTATTCCAGGGAAAAATGATCAGTCTATAGACGTTGATTTGACATCTATGAACATCGAATCGATGTCTTTAGATGTCAAATCGACATCTATAGACCGATCATTTCTGCCTGGGATATTAGTCACTTTTTTTCTTTCGTAAACTGCTCAGTTGATTTTCGTGAAATTTATTGAGATAATTTAATAATAATTAATTCAAATCTATCTCGAAGTAAAAAGAATATATATACGTATAAAATTTTAAATGGTAGATTCAATATAACGGGCAAAATTTAAAAAAATTAATAATTATCGTAAAACTCGGCATTAGAGAATTTATAACATTGTTAGGTAGTATTAATTTCTAGTTTTGTTTTATTTGTGCTATACGCAAACAGTTAATAATTAAGTATTAACAGACCGAAATGAGTGGGGCGGATATTTTTAAGCGCATTAACTATCAAACTCTGATCATGAGCCCTGTTGCACAAGTTCCTTCTTTATTAGACATTTTTTTTAATTTTGATGTTTCCTCGGATTACATTTAAATTCAGCGATTCCAAGAACTCATAAAACCGAATTTTACGATAATTGTCTTTTTTTAAATTTGGAGAATAATTCAATCCACCGTTATATTCAATTCTATTTTAAACTTTAAAATTCAAAGACTAGAATCAAGTTCAGAATATACAATCCATTATATTCAATTCACTATTTTAAATTTTAAAATTCAGAGACCAGAATCAAATTCAGCGACCTTGAAAATCCTTAAAAAACAATTAGTCTTCCATAAGTCATTTTGTTAGAAAAATCCCTCAAAGGGTTGAAGATCCTTTTGTGTAACTCTCCTTTCGTTCTCAGGACAGCTTGGAAACCATTTCGAGACCCAGAAGCCTCCTCTTCGACGCCGGCAAGCTGGAGGGCGTCAGGGAGACCAGCCTGGTGTCTCAGACCTCCGTGGAGACTCTGGCCCGCCTATTCCCGAACACCAAGCTGTCGGTTCTGCAACTGGTGCTGCAACGCTGCGGCCAGGACCTGCTGAAGGCAATCGAGTACTTCGCGAGCGACAGCCTGGGCATCGCTGAGCCGGCGATGTCGACCAGCATCGGTCACGCGTCCTCGGCCTTCCGGCCGCCACAGACGCTCGTCGACAGCGGCGCGGGGGAGCAGCAGCAGCAGCCGCAGCAACCGATCCCCGGCACGATGCTGGCGCCCATCTACACCAGCCTGTCCAGAAACGTCTACGGGGACGCGGGTTACTGCCTGCTGAACATCGTGCCGACCGAGCCGTTCGCCAAGGGCACCGACCTGCCGATCGCGAAAACCGCGGCCGATCAGGAGACCGTCGCTCTCAATTTTCGCTACAACAATTACTTCACCACCGGTATGCAGCAGCAGTTGAGGGATGCCCACGTGTGCGCCCAAGTGGCGGCGGATCGCCTGTCGGCCGCCAGATCGGCGGGCATACTTCATCATCTGCCGCCGGCCGTGCTGCCGAGCCTCCCTTGCGTACAGCCCAATTGCACGCAATGCAACTACAAGTTCACCTGAACGTACTTCTCCGCGGAGGTACATACAGCTAACTGTACAGACGCTTAGCCCCGGTAGATCACTGCGGAATTATTCCCTTAATATTAATTCTCCTGAATAAGAGGAACGCCGTGAAGCTGGAGAGAAAATACGTGCGGGTTGAAACATCTCGTAATCTTCGTAATCTTTTACATAGGAAATTCGCTTTAATTGAGAATGGTATAATTACATTATTTATATGTCCCAGTTACATATTGTTACGATTTTGTTAACTGATCTTCGATTGCGCAAAAGGAAGGAACGTTATTCAATTTTCCGCGCGAAAAAACACAATGGGGTAATTGAAAAGAAACGCGCAACGATTGCCTTTCTCTCTCCCTCTCTCTCTTTCTCTCTCGAGTGACGACTGCTCGGGGGGGTGGAAAAGCGAGGATCGCACGCGAGGATAGCGGGGGAGAGGACGCGGTAAATCCGTCGTATTTGTCGAAGTAATAGGGCGTCGGTAATCCAGTTAGAAATATTCGATCCACCGCCGTATAAACAACGCCGGGCCGGTCAATCGGCAGCCGTGGCCGCAGTCGCGCCGCGAGCGATTTACTTTGGCTTTGGTTTTAGGAGCAGAGAAAACCGAATCCCCCTCGCGAATCCTCACCCTCTCTTCCCCGCTCCCCCCCCC